ACACCTCAATCAACAAAACGAGCATAATAGTCTTTATCCCATTAGGCAAATACCTAGGTCATGGTCAGAACCCTAGGTCTTTTATATATTTGGAGAACTCTCAAAAACACTTATCTCTAGTCTTCTAGATTTAATTTTCATTCATTAGATTAATATTAGATTTAGAAACAAAAACCTTATTGTGGAAGTGTAACCTAGATACTTCACTTGCTTATTCCGAATATATACTCCTAGCTCCTATCTTAACTCCCTGCAGATTCGACCACGCTCCTTGTTGGGTTTTATTATTGCAAACAATCATGTCATACCTCTTTTAAGGCGTGCATTTGAACGTGACCATTGGGTCCCATAACTCCCGAAATACTCCTCCAAAACTTTCCAAATTCGAGTATGTTGTAACAAAACCCCAAACGGAATCGAGAAATAAATGCCTCTAACTCATTTTCAATTTTTTAAATTTAGGACATAACCCTAGGTCTGGATTTAAAGAATTAAATGAGTTTTCACTTAAAATCATGGAATAAAGCTTAAACCAAGGGAATGAATCAAAGGAAAATACTTAGGTTTTGGTTTAGACCTTAACCTATGGAAGAAACTTGATGAACATCGTTGAATTCTCCCAGTGTCAAACTTTCAAGATGAGAAAAACTCCAACAACATTAAGCCAGAAATGCCCAGTTGTTCTACATTGTTTCTTGTGCCAAACTATCCCAAAACTCACTTTTCATTCATCCAATGGATTTCTCATGAAATTCCAATCATCTTAGGATTTTGAATCACTCCATTTGAACTTATATTGAAGGAGATATGTTGGTTTCAATATTTTGAAATAGTGCATATTTTTAAATACAAACTCAGTGGATTTCGTAATTAACCTGAAAAATCTGGCAACCCAATTCTTAGTAAAATGACCATAAATTCCTCATACGACATCGAACTTGATGATTTCAGTTGCTACGATTCCAAAATTACACGCGGATATAATGATTTTGTCGAAACACGAATCAAAGGACGTTTGCTAAATATTGTAACCTTTATGCTTAAATCAACATCGAACCCAAAAACAATCACCATACAACCCAAACTTATCCAAAACTCATCGAAATTTAACCAAAATTTGTGGACATGTACAAAATCATTATACAATTTTTTTAGAATAATTCAAATCCAATTTCGAGTCCGTTTATCCAAAAGTCAAACATTGATCAACTCTTCTAACTTAAAGCTTCTAAAACGATAATCATTCTTCCAAATCAATCCCGAACTGCTCAAAAACCGAAATCAACTATACATACAAGTCGTAATACATAATATGAAGCTACCCAAAGTCTCAAACCACCGAATAGAACGCTAAAGCTCAAAATGACCGGTTGGTTCATTGCACTATTGGTGGAGGAGAATGAAAAAAGACATAGTTAGAAAATGTAACGACCCGGGTATGACTCTCGACCCCTTCGAGGATGAATGTTTGTTTAAGAGGGGGAAAATGTAACGACCCGGCCTATCATTTTGAGTATTATAGCCCCTTTCCCATATTTATTACTTATTATATTCTCATTTGTAGTTATGTGACTTGTCGGGGTGGTTGGTTTGGTTCCAGCGATGTTTCGAAATGAATTGGGACACTTAGTCCCAAGGTTGGAGGCCTAAGCTGAAAGCATTGACAGGATGTTGACTTATGTGTAAATGACTCCGGAATGGAGTATTGATGATTCTGATATCTCCGTATGGTAATTTTTGACTTAGGAGTGTGTCCGGAGATTGATTTGGAGGTCCATAGGTAATTTTTCCTTGATTTGGCAAAAGTTGGAAAAGTTGAAGTTTGGAGAGTTGAGAGATTTGATTGAGAGTCAACTTTATTGTTACTAGGCTCAAATTTTGTTTCAGGAGTTGGAATAGGTCCGTTGTGTCATTTATGACTTGGGTGCAAAATTTGAGGTCAATCAGAGTTGGTTCTGGTATGTTTCAGCATTCGTTTTAGATGTTAGAAACTCATAAGTTCACTAAGCTTGAATCGATGTGTGATTCGTGGTTTTAGTGTTGTTTGATGTCATTTGAGGCCTTGAACAAGTTTTATGATGTTTTGTGACTTGTTGGTATGTTTGATTGAGGTCCCGAGAGACCTCAAATGGATTTTGGATGGTTAACAGATTGGAATTTGGACTTGGAAGATTGCTGAAGAAGCTGATGTCTGGTGCAACCGCACCTACAAGAAAAGAGCCGCAGAAGTGGCAAGGTGCACGTAGGTGCGAGAAGTGAGAAAGGAGCTGGGGAGGGCAAGCGCAGAGGAGAAATCCGCAGAAGCGAACGCGTTCCTACGCAAGGTATTCTTCAGAAGCAGAGTTTGGTAGTAGGGCTGGTGATCACAGAAGCGATGGATTGATCCATAGATGCAGTACCACAGGTGAGAAGAGGGGATCGCAAGTGCTCTAGGTCGGGGTTTAAGTGGACGTCGCAGAAGCAAAGATTTCTCTGTAAAAGCGGAATTGCAGGTGCGACCCCTGACTCAGCAGATACGTAAAGTCTGGCTAAAGGTATAAAAGTGAGGGTCTTAAAGTTTTTCTCATTTTTGGACTTTGCTAGCTCGGTTGGAGACGATTTTTGAGAGGGCTTTTACTAGAGGTAAGAAACTTTTGGTCCTTTTTATCTATTAATATTGAGTACCCATTGAATTCTCCACCTGGATTATGTGTTTTTAAGGTGAATTTGGAGAATTTTGGGCTAGGGATTGGAGAGTAAGATTTGGGAATTTGAGTGATGATTTGATGTAGGAATTGGGTAATTTTGGTATGGTTGGAATCGTTATTGAATGAGTGTTTGTATTTTGTAAATTTTGTTGGGTTTCGAGACATGGGCCCGGGATTAACTTTGGGTTGACTTTTTGACTTTTGTTAAAGAACCTAGATTTATCATATGGAATTGATTCATATAGCTTGTGGTTATTGTATTAAGTTGTTTGTGGTTAGACTTGAGTTGCTCGGAGGCTGATTCATGAGGCAAGGGCTTGTTGGAGTATAGATTTGCATGGTTTGAGGTAAATAGCACTTTTAGACTTTATTCTGAGGGTATAAATCCCTGGAATACATGTTATGTGGTTGGTGTTGAGGTGACACACATGCTAGGTGACGGGCGCGGGGTGTGCACCATAGTAAATGTGACTTGGTTGATTCCGTGGAACTATGTAGTCATCTAATCTTGTTATTATTCATGTATTCTCCATGTGTTAGAGACGTTGAGCTGTGATTCATGTCAGAAATCATGTTTAGGGTATATGTTGGTACTATTGAGACCCACAAAGGTTGTTTTGTTGTTGAATTATTTGCTTATTTTTCAATTATATACTCAGTCAAATCTATCATTTGCGTATCATATCTCAGTCTCTGTTACTATTTATTATTACATCATATTATCATTGTTTGGGTTAATTGTCATGAGATCTGTGAGTTCGAGAGACTTGAGAGATTGATGACTGAGTGAGGCCAAGGGCCTGATTGTAAGTGATATTTATGGGATCGGGCTGCACATCGCCGCAGGCTTTATTGATTCATGCCATGATTGGCTTATATTAGTGCTTGGGCAGGACCCGCCCCTGTGGAGTCCAACATACCAACAATGAGCGCAAGTACCTATTGAGTGGGAGTGCCGAATGATTGAGAGTGCCGAGTTATTGGGAGTACTGAGTGATTGAGCGTGTTATGTGGTTGAATACTCCGACAGTATGTATATACTTTATTAGTGTGTTGCATTACAATTGACATGCATACTTGACATATATATATCGAGATATGGCATACCTCATATTAGTCATACTTGGCATATTTTATCCTTGTTGAGCTCAAACTATTAAATACTTGAAAGCATGTCTACATTTCTGAACTCTCTACTAACCAATTATAAGGCTTTCTCTACATTATTATTGTCATTTTCCTGGCATATCTGCGTTGTTATTATCTGAATATGGATTGTACCTTTTTGAGCTTGTCACTGCTTTCAACCCAAGATTAATCCTGTTACTTAGTGAGTACATTGGGTCGGTTGTACTCATACTACACTCGGTACTTCGTATGCAGATCCAGGTACTTCTGGGCACGATGGTTTCTAGATTTTGAGCTTCATCTATTTGGAGACTATTGAGGTAGCTGCCTTGGCATCCGCAGACCTTGACTCTCCTTCTTTTCAGTTTATTAGCACTGTTCTATCGTTCTAGACGGTTGTTTTAGCATTTAGAGTTTATTGTCATTTAGATGCTCATGTGCCTAGTGACACCCAGATTTTGGGGATTTTGTATTGAGTCGTGGTATTTTCTTATCGGTTGTTTATGAGATTTTAACTATTAAGTGTGAGCACGTAATTTTTGCCCCATAGGAATTACTCCTATAAAATATAAGAAAACAATTTTTTCCATTTTTTGCAATTTTATAGGATTTTGTGAGAATTTGTGCTAATTGTTTGCATTTCTATGCATGTTTACTTTTGTTAAAAATCATGAAAATGTTAAAAATATCATGCATTGCATTTAGGTTTTGTTTTTACAGTTTTAGGATTAATTAGTTAATTATTTGTTTTGTTAAAAATGAAAATCACAAAAATAGCTCATTTTTCATTTTTTGCCTTTTAGATTGTTAATTTTTCTCTTTTAATTTAGGACTGAGTAATTTTTATAATTATTGTGATTAGGTAATAGTTTAATGTTGCAATTTAGAATAATTTAGAATTTTTTTACGATTTTTAATTAAAAAAAGAAAAGAGGAAGAAAAAAAGAAAAAGGAATAAAAAAAGAGGTAATTGAAAAGGGGTCTTTTTTAATTGAAATTGGGCTGATCTTTATACCCAATTTAGTCTAAACCCAAGCCCAAAATGACCAGCCTACTCGTTCTAACCCCTCACACCCCAAACGACCCCGTTTTGTAATAATCTGATCACAACCGTTGGATCCTCGTGATACAATGGTTCGGAACTAATCAACTTAAACCTTATAACTATCCTAACACAGACCCCCCCCTCTCAAAACCAACCATTCCCACGTCTCTTTCAACATGAACCAAACCCTAGCCTCCTAAAAGAACCTCACCGCCTCCGCCGCTAACCACCACCGGAAATCGCCTCATGGCGGTTCTGGTGGTCCAAACCTCCCCAAATATTTACCAGGAAATCCCCTTTATTTCCTCTTTCCAAATCCCTAAATAATTCCTTCAAATCCCCGCCAATCTTTTCCGATTTCAGATCTAAAGTACCAACCCCAAAAACCCTAACTCACTCAAACCGCCCCAAGTCCACACCCTGTAGTCACCCGGCTTCCCCAAACCCAAAACACCCAACAATTTCCCCTAGGAGTCTTTGAAGCTCGTCGAATTTTGGATCTAGGGTTCGACCCCTTCTGTTTCTTTGGGAATTTTTCTCGAAGTTTTGCCTAATTTGGCTGGAAGTTTGCCCAATTAGGTTATTCTTTACCAGAGTAACCATTTGTGTCAACTTCAAGCCTTTTGAATCATCCGAAGCCAAGCACAAGTTCTTTCGTTTCTTCTTCGTCCTTTAGTAGGTATTTCCTCTCTTGGTCTTCTTGTTCTTTTGTCTTCTATTATTGTTTTGTTCGTTTGTGCTGATTCACATCCATAAAAACAAAAAACAATATATGTTGTTAAGGCTTTCATTCATCTCTGTTTTTTGTTAAGTAAGTTGCCTTTGATAGGTTGGGTTTATTTGAATTTCATGGTTAGCTAATTAAGGTCATAAGATTCAAATGATTTGGCTAGGGTAATCACTGATAATTTTGTTTACTTTCTGGTTGATGTTTAGTTTCCATACCTGCTTTCCTTGTTTAGTTTGCACTATTTAGTTAGGCTAATTTCAGCATTTATGTTCAATACTTAGTTAGATGTTTGTTGAATTTCCCCTCCCAGTAATCTATTAATGGGCTTTAATAACTTTTCTTTTGAAACTTGTGTTAGTATTAGGTTTGAGTTATTTCTGTTTCTGTTTCATGGCTAATTTGGTTCATGATAAATAAATTTAAGGTTAGTCTGAAGGTTTAATTGCATTTTCGTTTGTTATTTGATTCTATTTTACCAATGTTTGTTTGCATTGTTTTGTTTGCCATAATTTATCAACCATTAGAAACTTACGAGTGGTTAATTGAACAAGTAGAAACTTAGGGGGTAATTTGGAAGTTAGAAATAGGATTTTTCAGATAAAGTTAAGGTTAGAAGCTTCTAGAATTTGGGGCAGCTGGCCCTATTTGGCTAGCACAAATACTGAAATCAATTAAAGGGTGACAGCTGTCCCAATTTTGTTATAAAGATACCTTTTGTAAGCTGGGAATAATTCCATTTTTTTGTTTTAAGCACATGGTTGAGAGGCCTATAAAGCAGGCCCTTTCCTTCATTCTAAAGGACAGACAAAAAGCATCATTCTCTGGAACAAAAAAATTCTGCATTTTTTAGCTAAAGATTTCTCTAATTTTGACAAGAAAACTAGAAGAAACTCTTTGAAATTTTCGAACAAAAAAAGGGTTGAAGCATGGTTTAGTTTTGGAAGCTGTGGCTACTGTTGTTTTGCTGTGTTACTCACGTTGCTACTACTGAATCCTCACTCTCTTTTGCCTTATTTTGAAATATAGGCATTTCTTGGACCTTGAGTAATATGTGAAGTGCAAATCTGAAACCATGTAATCAAGTGTGGAGACTTAAGAATGAATATTAGCTTTGCTGAAAGATTATTCACGTGCTCTTTAAAGTTTTGCCCAAATTATGTACTAAGTTAGCTTTACATTATGTGTTCCTTTGCTCATTTACATTAATAATGCTATATTCCATTTTCAAGTTTGGATTAGGAACTTAGCTTATTGTGTTGATTTGTAATTTAAACTTGTTGGCTTTGTTTAAACTTATTTAGGTCAGTGTCGATTTTCAGTCTATGGCTAGTGCATATTATGATTTTGTTGGTTTATTTCCAGCAGAGTTTGGTCTTAGTATCTGAGTTTTTTGAGAGCTATAATTTGAGCAAGAGTATATATGCCTGATGATTTGTTGTATTTCCAGTTCAATTGTTTAGGGTCTCAATACTATTAGGAAGATTGTACCTGTGAATTCAACTTGATTAATGAGTAGTTTATAATTCCAAATGTGTTCCCCTAACATTAATAGGTAAAATCATGAAATCAGAAGTGTGTGACAAGGTTGTTTAAGTGTTATGATTTTCAAAGTTCTGTATAATATGTATGGTGTATGGATCATGTTTAGTTGGGCCTCATTAGGGCCTGAAGAGATTTTGCCGAGTTGGGCCTGGATTTGGCCCACTTTGAAATGGGCAATCATCTGCCTAACCACGTTCCTTGGGCTAGCCTTCGAGCCCAGTTGTCCTTTTAAATGATTTCTTTGGGTTTAAGCCCAAACCAAAATTTGCCTAAATAATTAAGGACCTAGAATGAGCATCAACTCTCTTTTCTCTCTTACTAATAGTTATACCTTAATTTTTTTTAAAAAACCATTTGTGAGTAGGAATATCATTTAGGCCCAGTTAGGTGCAACTCTTTCAATTATTTTGAGGTGTGCCATCCTAATTAAGTCATTTATGGCCCTCTTATTAATCTTATAACTTAGATACTAAAAATGAATATTCGTAGTTTGCTTTAGGCACGCTTAATATACCATCGTGGTTGTGTACACGTTCGCATGATATAATTACGTTTCTAAAACAAAATCGGAGTATGCGTTCGTGCAACTTTGGCCAAACTTTCTTAATAATAATAAAGCGTTATTAATTGTGGACACATTCGCGTGACATAATTTCGACGCGCCAAACAAATGGGTACACGTACGCATGACCTGTTTCAAGATAATTTCTTGATTAAAAAGGGTAAATGCTCATAGGTTCTAAAAGCAGTAATCAAACAATTTGTTTAAGCCAAGTATGATCAAAGCAACCGTGCTAGAACCACGGAACAAGGGAGTGCCTAACACCTTCTCCCGGGTTAATAGAATTCCTTACCTGAATTCTGTGTTTCGCAGATATTAATACAGAGTCAAATCTCCTCAATTCGAGATTTTAAACCGGTGACTTGGGACACCATAAATTATCCCAAGTGGCGACTCTAATTTTAAATAAATAATCCCGTTTTGATTGTCACTTAAATTGAAAAAAACTCCCTTATACCCCTTCCGGGTGTAGGAACAAGGAGGTGTGACATTAAGCTTATTTCATTATGTTTGAAATTCAAAAATGTGTGGTTATTTGTGGTTGTCGGCTTGCTTAGTATTGCGATAGGCACCATCAAGACATGTGAAATTTTGGGTCATGAAAATAATAATCTCCACAAAATAATTCGGCAACCAAGTATTGACTACAACAATCTTACTAAATTCAATTTCTAGTCAAAACTTTTATTTTAATAATATCAAATAATCTCCATTATACTACAACATTCAATAAGAATAGACCAACTCAATAGAACTAAAATAAGTCAATACTAATATATAAAAGTAATAATAGTAGTAGAATATAGTTCAAGAAAGAATTAGCAATACAAATATCATTTAATGAGTCTTTTGTTCTACATCTCCTCTACTACTTCAAGAGCCTTCGTCTTTTGCACAGGCAGAATGATCATGTGGAGAACGATCCTTATGATTTGACTCACACTATCAGGGCAATGAAAAGCTCCGGTAGCAAGGAGAGCTCTCAATTAAGCCTGAATACCATCAAACTATTCATCTTGTCATGATTCTAAAATCCCTCCAAAACCTAGCCTACTTTCTAGGCTAGCCAATACTCAACAACATTATTATGATTTAATTATTAAACTTTTAGCTGATTCATGATATAAATAACAAGGCGGAACAAACTTAAAATATCAATATAAAAAATACATGAATCTCAGATAACGTCTAAACATGATCACAACTATCTCACAAACTCTCCAAAAATGGGTGTTCGAACATCTTATGAGCAGCTAACAAGAGTAAAGAGTCTCAATTAGATAACAACATCTGTCCGAAAATGACAATATATAGACATATATAAATGATTAGGAAAGGGGGCTCCTTGTGCTGCAGATCGGATCAAGTAAGCAGCTCACCACGAAGTCTCGTAAGATGCTCCTACTCAACTCAATGGGTACTACTAACACTAGCCTCAGAGCTTGCACAAAAATATATAGAAGTGTAATATGAGTACAAAACCACGATACTCTATAAATATCAAGTCTAGCCTCGAAGAAGTAGAGATGAAGGGTCGACACTAACATCTACTAACAACTCAATAAGCATATGAAAACATAATTAGAACATGGAGTAAAACATGATATCATCAATCAAGTCCACTAATAGAAACATAGTAAATCTAAAATTTAGATATGCTTTTCAGATAAGAGATATAATACAATATCGGTTGTCATAATTCTTTTCATAATCATCATATGAGTCAGTCAGCGTTCACACACACACAGACATATATATATATCTAGTGGAAGATTAACAAAACTCAAGTTGAGCTACAAGGAGGTTTCAGAAGTTTATCTATCTATCTATATATATATNATACTATTTTTATATACACCTAAGATTAGGAACGAAAAATATCTGCTTTTGATGTTACTAATTATGCATATGTCACGATCCAAAATCCACTATAGGTCGTGATGGTGCCTAATTTCGCTGTCAAACAAGCCAATGGTGAATTATCAACTGAATTGTTTATTTTATTACTTTCAGAATCACAAATTTTATTAAGTAAGGAAATTTACACCTTTAAATTCAATGGTACGTACATAATTAGTAGCTTATAAAAGAACTGAAAGGTGATAACAATACACAAATCCATAAGCAGCAACTAGCATATCCCAAAATTTGGGTCACAAGTGCATGAGCATCTACTAAGGAGTACAATAATAATACAACATCTGTCTAGAATACAAGTTAGACAGAAAATATAAGTAATTCAGATGGAGACTCTGTATGTTGTGGATCATAGCATGGGATGAAGCTCACAGTAAATCCCCGCAATAGTTGCGCCTTCGCACCCGAAAGACCACCAGAAATATATATACTTGCACAATAAGTGCAGAAGTGTAGCATGAGTACGTAAATCAGTACATACCTAGTAAGTATCTAGCTAACCCCAAAGAGATAGTGACGAGGGGTCGACATCGATGCTTACTAGTGGTCCAGTAAATCATATACAGTAAGAAGCAACAAAATATGAGGAAAAGTAAATAAACGGAATACACAAATATAAATACGTGGTACAACCCTCCTCTGAACAGTAAACACAGCTCTCAACTATTGGTTACCTCCTCAACCAGAGTATATATGTAAAATGGTCCCCACCAGATAGGTCGTCACAACTCAAATCAGGAAAACTCACGGATACGATGACTTCTTGTCAAATATAACGCACGATGTGCTGAGGCGAACGACCTGATCCCATAAGAGTATTTCATGAAGCTGCCGAGGCGAACGGCCCGATTCCATAAGAGTATTTTATAGAAATGCCGAGGCAAATGGCCCGATCCCATAAAAATGTGGTACTGCCGAGGCGAATGGCTCGATCCTATAAGAATATATTACCGCTGAGGCGAATGACCCGATCCCATAAGGATATGATACTACCAAGGCGAACGACCTGATCCCATAAGAATATGAAGCTTTAACAGGTCCTTGACCCCACTCACGAATAAACGTGTGAGTTATGAAATTTAAGGACGCTTTTCGATGTAAACGCACAACACGGGAGAAATTCCTAAGGGGACCACAATTATTCCGCAGCTAAATCAAGTGGCTCATCAAATCCCTACAATAGAGAGTCTATCGCTCTATGCAATCCTAGTCTCAAGGCGTAACGCGAAATAAAGGAATTAAATAGGCAAGGGTAACTCAAATAGTACAATTAAAGCATCGCATGAATCCTAGTCTACCTGGACATAATCAAAAATTCTAGTATGCGCACCGACACTCACCACGCCATACGTGCGCAGCTCCAACAACATGTAACATATAACAATAATAACACCTACGGGGTAATTTTCCCATCATAATGTTAGACAGGAGAATACCTCGCTCTGAAGTTCCATAACCGGCTCCAATACCTCTCTAACTCCTCTAATCAAAGCCAAATGATCCGAAACTAGTCAAACAAAGTAAAAACTAGTAAAAATATACTCATAATTAATCAACTTATAAGAATTCCTAACTCCTCTTAAAAAGTAAACAAAGTCAACCCTCGAGCCCACATGCCCGGTTTTCAAAAAATTTCGAAGTTAAACTTTATCCATAACACCACAAACTCAAATATATAAATTATTCATAGTTCTATGTCCAATTTCGTGGTAAAAATATCTATTTCTAGGTTTCTTTCAAAATCTCCTCAATTTCTACCAAATTTCATGAATTTACAACCCTAAGTTCATATATTTAACTCACAACTTGTAGAAATCAATTACTTTATGTTTGACGATGAAATTGGCTCTCCAAAATCATTCCAAAGTTGGCCCCCACGAAGAATGAATTGAAATGAGCCAATCCCCCATTTTTAAAACTACATTGCCCAGTCTGACCTTCTTTGCGAATGCAGCAAGTCCCTTTAGAACCTTCAAATCCTGATTCTGAGGTCGTTTACTCATAAGGCAAACCTCGGTCAACTCTTCCAACTTAAAGCTTCCAAATTTAGAATTTCCATCCTAATCAACTCTGAACTTCCCGAAATTCAATTCCGACCCCACATACAAGTCATAGTACATGAAGTGAAGCTACTACGGGCATCAAACCACCGAATGATGCACTAGGGCTCAAAACGACCGGTTGGGTCGTTACATTCTCCCTCACTT